CAGCCAGGGTGGAGCATAGTGGGATGGAGAATTGAAGATGCATGCGCAGAGACAGCATACTCCCAGGATGGGGCTGAGCCAGAGGAATGTTTTAGTGAGCCTAAGTAACACCCAGCCCTCAGGGGATTATAGCTGAGACCAAAGAAGGCAGGAAACTGAAAGTTGAGTGTAAGCTCTAACTGTACCTGCCCGAACACAGACTGCAGGAGAAAGAGAAATACCAGTTCTGGGCAGTGGCCCAGACCAGAGTTGAATCGCAGTTTCTGTAAACTCAAACAGTGCCTGGTCCACAGGGGAATATAGCCAGGATAGAATCACAAATTCTGTGCAAATATAAGTGTCACCAACATCAATCAGGGGTGGGGCTGGAACTGAGTGAACCACTCCAGATTCCATTAACCACTCGAGGTTGTCAGACCTCAGCTTCCTCTACTGGATAATGGCAGAGTGCAGAGGGCTGGCTGAGGAAACATAAGATCTCTCTGTGACACAAGCAGGCTCAAACCCCTGGAGCATCTGCTCATTGGAGGGAACTGGGTCATAGCCCTGTAGGATTACCAGTGACTGGGTGGGACAGAGATGCAAGGTGGGTAAGGAGGCACCAACCTTCCCAGACTAATTCATTTGCCGAGCCGGGGGGGGGGTCCTTTGGACTCCACAGAGCACCAGTATAAGTCATATTCGAGCTACCAGCAAACCCCTGCTATCTAGTTGCCAGAGACCTTTTGAATTCCCTCACTTGAGACCAGATGCTGACTGGGACAATTAATTTGGATCTCTCGGACTGGACCAATCACCTGAGAACTATCCAAAGTGGTACCCTGGGTGTGTGGTTGTGGGAAGATTTGATGTTTGCTTTTACAAATGCTGTCTATGGGGGGTGGGGTGACTTAATTGCTGGTATTTCTCCACAGCTGAGACTTCAACCCAGACTAACTGATTCACTAGGGTAGGACAGAGACCAGCTAAAAACAAAACAGAGGCACTTAGCCCCACCACAACAAGTAAGACCCCAGTGTCTCAGGCCATAGCACTATAGAGGTTCTCTGCAAAGCTCTAGGGGAAAAGGTACAGACACCAGTCACAGCTATTGGGTAAAAAGCTGGTTAATCACTACTCCAGGAGCACCCCAACCCAACTTCACCTTATCTACTCATCTAGCCAAGTGGTATAAAATAATTATGGGGCGGAATCAGTGGAAAAAATCCAGTAACATGAATAACCAGAGTAGATCAACTCCCCCAAGGAATGATATGGCAGACACAATTGAAGATCCTATTCATAGACAAATGGTTGAAATGTCAGAAATCGAATTCAGAGATTGGATTGCAAATAAGATTAATGGAATGGTAATAAAGCTGGAATTAAAAATTCAAGGAGCAATTCAAAAGTTGTCTCAAGAATTCAATAAATTCAAAGACAAAATCACCAAAGATTTGACACATTGACACAAGAATATGCAGCCATGAAAGATCTGAGAAATACAGTAGTTACATTCCTCAGTAACAGAATGGAGCAAGCAGAAGAAAGGATTTCTAACATTGAAGACAATTTTTGAATGCTCCCAATCACTCAAAGAGGAAAAGAAACAGATCAAAAATGGACCATTCTCTCAGAGAACTTTGGGATAATTTGAAGAAAAATATATTCGCCTTATAGGAATTCCTGGAGGTGTTGAAGTTGCTTTTTCATGAGACTATGAAGGAGAACTTTCCGGACATGCCAAGAGATTTTGAAATTCAGATAGGAGACAGTTTCAGAAACCCAGCATGACTCAACCCAAATAAGACAACCCCCAGACACATCATAATTAACTTCACTACAGTTAATATGAAGGAGAAAATTCTGACACAAGCCAGACATAAGAAAACCATAACCTACAAGGGGAAGAATATTAGAATGACTGTAGATCTCTCTGCTGAAACTTTTCAAGCTAGAAGAGGGTGGTCATCGACTTATAATCTCCTAAAAAAAATAACTTTCAACCCAGGATCCTGTATCCAGCTAAACTCAGTTATATTTATGATGGATAAATTAAATACTTTAATGATATTCACATGGTGAAGAAATATGCCATAATGAAACCAGCTCTCCAGGATATTCTCAGACCTATCCTCCACAATGACCAGTGCAATCCTCCACCACCCAAGTAAACCCACTCAGAAACTTTTGATCAAATTCCAACTTCCATAGTGGTAAAAGAATTTAAAATGTCCACTGGACTTTTGAAAAACTCGATACCCAAAATTCTACCAAGCTTATCAATATCCTCAATTAATGTGAATGGTTTAAATTGTCCTCTAAAGAGTCACAGGTTGGCTGACTGGATACAAAAATTCAGGCCAGATATCTGCTCCATACAATAATCTCATCTTACCTTAAAAGATAAATATAGACTTAGGGTGAAGGGATGGTGATCTATATTTTAGGCAAATGGAAATCAGAAAAAAAGTAGGTGTTGCAATTTTATTTGCAGATAGAATAGGCTTTAAACCAACAAAAGTAAGGAAGGATAATGATGATCACCTCATATTTGCTAACGGTAATACTCAATATGATGAGATCTCAATTATTATTTACGTACCCAACCAGAATGCACCTCAGGTTATAAGAGAAACTCTTACAGGCATGAGCAACTTGATTTCCTCCAGCTCCATAATAGTCAGAGATTTTAACATTCCATTGGGATTGTTGGATAGATCCTCCAATAAGAAGCTAAGCAAAAAAATTTTAGATTTAAACTTAACCACTCAACATGTGGATTTAACAGACATCTACAGAAGATTTCATCCTAACAAAACTGAGTGCACATCCTTCTCATCAGCCCATGGAACGAACATCTTACAAAATTGATCACATCTTAGGTCACACATCTAACCTCAGCAAATTTAAAAGAATAGAATTTATTCCTTGCATCCTCTTGGACCATCATGGAATAAAAGTTGAACTCAGTAACAACAGGAATCTGCATATTCATACAAAAACATGGAAGCTAAATAACCTTATGCTGAATGTTAGATGGGTCAGAGATGAGATTAACAAGGAAATTACCAAATTTTGGGGAAAAAAATAATGAAGACACAAATTATCACAACCTCTGGAATACTGCAAAGGCAGTCATAAGAAGGAAATTGATAGCACTGCAAGCCTTCCTCAAGAGAACTGAAAGAGAGGAAGTTAACAACTTAATGGGACATCTCAAGAAACTGGAAAAAGAAGAACACTCCAATCCCAAACCCAGCAGAAGAAAAGAAATAACCAAAATTAGAGTAGAATTAAATGAAATTGAAAACAAAGGGATTATACAACAGATAAATCAAGAAGCTGGTTTTTTGTAAAGGTCAATAAAATAGATAAACCTTTGGCTAACCTAACCAGGAAAAAAAAGAGTAAAATCTCTAATTTCACCAATCAGAAATGGTAAAGATGAACTAACAACCGATCCCTCAGAAATTCAAAAAATCCTTAGTGAATATTACAAGAAACTTTATTCTCAGAAATATGAAAATCTGAAGGAAACTGAGCAATACTTGGAAGCCCACTACCTTCTAAGACATAGCCAGAATCAAGTGGAAATGTTAAACAGGTCTATATTAAGTTCTGAAATAGCATCGACTATACAAAATCTCCCTAAAAAGAAAAGCCTAGGACAAGATGGCTTCACATTAGAATTCTACCAAACCATTAAAGAGGAACTAGTACATATATTACTCAACCTTTGCCAAAATATAGAAAAAGATGGAATACTACCCAACACATTCTATGAAGCAAATATCACCTTGATCCCCAAACCAGAAAAAGACCCAAAAGAAAAGAAAATTATAGACCAATATCACTAATGAATATTGATGCAAAAATATTCAACAAGATCCTAACAAACAGAATCCAGCAACACATCAAACAAATCATACACCATGACCAAGTAGGTTTTATCCCAGGATCTCAAGGGTGGTTCAATATATGTAAATCTATAAATATAATTCATCACATAAACAAATTAAAAAACAAA